GAGACCCCGATGAGGATGACGAGCATGCAGATGAGCTTCCCTGAGACGGTTTCTGACAGTTTGTGCAGAAATTCTTTGGTTATGCAAACCGATTGTTGCAGCAGCTGTCTGGGTGGTTGGTCTCAGACAATCTTGGAGGTGAAGATGCTGGATGTGGAGGTCCTGGGCTGGTGTGGTTACACGTGGTCTTCGTTTGTGAGGCCGGTTGGATGTACTGCCAAATTCTCTGAAACACCTTTGGAGACGGCTTATGGTAGAGAAATGAACATTCAATTCACGGGCAACAGCTCTGGTGAACATTCCTGCAGTCAGCAGGCCAATTGCACGCTCCCTCAAAACTTGCGGCATCTGTGGCATTGTGCTGTGTGATAAAACTGCACATTTTAGAGTGGCCTTTTATTGTGGCCAGCCTAAGGCACACCTGTGCAATAATCATGCTGTCTAATCAGCATCTTGATATGTCACACCTGTGAGGTGGTTGGATTATCTCGGCAAAGGAGAAGTGCTCACTAACAGATTTAGACAGATTTGTGAACAATATTTGAGAGAAATAGGCCTTTTGTGTACATAGAAAAAGTCTTAGATCTTTGAGTTCAGCGCATGAAAAATGGGGGCAAAAACAAAAGTGTTGCGTTTATAATTTTGTTCCGTGTATTTAACTACAATACAGTTATTTTAAATTGTAATAACATAATTGCACAATATTACTGTTACTGTCTGATCAAATAAATGCAGCCTTGGTGATCATAAAAGACTTCTGTCTTTTAAAAACCTTTAAAAAAGATCCTACCCACCACAAACCTTTGAAAAGTAAATAAAAAAAATAAACATAAAACTACACTGAATACAATGCGAAAAAATAACAATACCTGCACTTTGACAGTATTAGCAATATCAAATGTGCTGTTAAAAAGATTGGTTGGGGGGGATATGGACTGGGGAATTAGACTGACTTGACTGAGAAACACTCAGTTTTTTTTCTTCTCCGAAACACAGGAAAAAGCAGCTTATCTTAGTGTATATTATGAATATTGGTTCATTATGGGCACCAACACGTCCATTAAACACTCTCTGTGTGTTGGTCAGGTTTTGTTTACATTACGATGACCAAATGTCTCCACAAGGACAGTAAAACCTAAAATCACCACACTGCAGGTCTCAGCCAGTGATCCCCAAGAGGAGAAAATCTTGAAAAACACACTAAATATCTTAATAATAAAAAAGGTGTGTGTGTGTGTGAGGGTTAAGTTTAGGGTTAGACGTGAGATAAATTATCATTCAAAAACAACAGCAGTCAATGGAAAGTCCCACCATGATAGAAAAACAAACGTGTGTGTGAGGTCAGTGAGGAGGTCTTCCTTTTGGGAGAGACATTGTTCAGTCCAGGGATTGAAGTCCAGAGGGACTAGATTTAATGAGCTCCAATTTTTGCTCTAATGACCCTCTCTCTACAACCCCCACCCCCTCCACCATCAATTCCCTCTTCATATTCTTCTCTTCTAATCGCTTTGGAGGATATTAACAACCTCTTCCTCGCACACTCCAGACCATTAGGAGGGCCTGCCTCAGCTGCACATACACGCCAATCATCTCAATTACTCTTATGAGCACAGAGAGGCCAATATCTTGTGAAACACACACATGCACACATGACAGATGAATGGGAGAGAGAAAGATCTAGTGAGGGTGAAAGTTGTGAAACTAGGCCACACTACAACATGGTGCATTATCAGTGATATCTTTATTTCTGTAGTGACAGTAAAGTGCGAGTTGTCTTAATTATGCTAATTTTTCGAGGCTGGCGAGTGACTCCAGCATTCAGCCATGAGCAAACATTACAAACCCAAACTTTAACGGGTGTCAGTGAAACTTATCTGCAATTTAGTGCCATCAAAACAGTCACAGTTGGTTCTTGCCCTCAGTCAAGCAGTCAGGTAGCCTACATGCACCTTTCCTGCGACGGTAGCCGTTTTTAGACTCACCAGGCTGCAGTACACTGATGCCCAGTGGGTTTGAGGTGCGGTTGGCCACCGTGCTCCAGGTGCCATCGTAATTCCTCCGATAAAGCAGGGCAGCACACTGGTACGTCCCGGCCTCCTTGCGTCCAGCTCGGGTGATGCTGAGGCGGAAGTTGGTGTTCGTAGGCGTACGATCCACCATGGTACGGGTGCCCAGGCCCAGCAGCTGGTCGCCCCACTGCAGAGTGCCGTCCCGCGTGAACGTCACCAAATCTCGGAACTCTCCGTCGCCCTCTGCTGGCTGGAAGCGCCATGTGACCGCAGCAGGAACGTTGGGATTGTGCCGTGGCTTCACGATGCACTGCAGGTCAAACGAGTCGCCAAACGTCACGCTGGGCGTACGGGAGGAGGCTGACACGAAGAAGAAAGATTCTGAAGCAAGAACAAATAAAGAGAGTATGCATAGTAATTAAAAATACTTGCAATGTCACAAAGCATTAATATAGAATTCAGTTCATGTGTTGACTCGCCCAATCAGAACTTACTATATCTTTTTTTTTAGGCTTTATATTATTCGTTTTTGAGTCTTTTGTTTTTAACATAAGCATAAAACCAGTTTCGACAATTCGAAACTGGTTTTGCAATTATAAAATGACAATGTACAGTTAAAAAAAATACAGGACAGTTATACAGCCAATTTGTTTGATATTTTTAGGCAGAAAACAAAAGAAAACTGGCAAAAACAAAATACAGAAATGCATGAAAATACAAAATAAATCAATAAAACTAAATAAAAGAAAAAATACAATACAGATGAAAAGTATAAACAGTTCAGTTTAAAACAATTACGTAGCACATAATTGAGATGAGAATATTAATGATGAATAGTCTCATTCTTTGTTTTGTGCTCATTAAGATAATAACTGCAGTAATAAGTAATATAATAATAATCATTATCAGCAGCAGTGGCAGCAGCATACAGTACATTTATTTAGCATTATCAAACCATTTTTCACTGAATTGACGAGGAAAAAAATATGTAAAAAATATAAATGAATGAATGATATAAAATGACTATGCTATAGCATTTTTGAGCATAGCACCCATCCCTAACTTCAATGTTTTACATATATATATAAAAAATAAATTAAATAAAGATTAAAGTGTGTGCACTGCAACAACGCTTGCACTTGTATGCCACTGCAGCACGATTGCAATACTGTTCAAGTACTTATTCTCTCCTGTGGAACCATCTTCTATTTTTGCTTGACAGTAAAAACAAAGTTCTGGTTAACTGCTAGCGCTGCCCCTCGGCTCAAGCCTGTCACACAAGTAAACATGATGAGGGAACTGCGGGTTACTTAATTGTGAATTCACAGCTGATACTGAGGAGTATGTGAATCTGCTAATGGGCATATAGTCAACAAGCCTATTCCCTGGCGAGCTGCTACTGGCACCCTTCAGCAGCAATTTACATCGCCATTGCTCATACTATACAAGATCATGGAAAAAATAAACTCATTACAAGGGAATGCCCTGGCTGTTTTGTCTTTCCATTTGAAAAGGAAGCAAATTTCTGCAAGAGATTTCTGGAACTCAAATAATTTTCCCAGTGGAAGGGGTAAAGCGTCATTTGGCTACTTCTGAGTGTTTGTGCTTGATATGGATGACAGCAGCTGGAGGCCATAAGGAGCCGGAGACAACGAGATCCATTTCCAGCCTACCTGCCAGTGCCCTAATGATGCCACGCTGCTGGGCTGTAACAGAGGGCAGGTTAACGCCACACCCGTCGGGCACAATCTTTGCCCAGATCTCAGTAGTAACATAGGGCCTGGCAGAGTTGAGAAAGTGAATTTCATTTGGAGAGCCTCTGTGTCCTTCAATTATGCAAACTATCTATTAAAGGAACAGGGCAGTAAAGTTAGATGTCTACATTATCAAACTACTCTGTCTGCATGCTAATGATCCTCAAAGACTTCCCTGGAGAAATCCCAGAGTTCAGCTGTTCACTAGGCTGGGAAAGGCTAGCAGGAGTTTGTTCTGTTTGGGAGGAAAGCGTGAGAATGGCACAGTTAATCTACTCTTTGTTATTTTGATCAAATTTGGACAAGGTGACCTGTAGCATGCCAACTCAATCCTGTGGGCAGCAACATCGGAGAGCAGCCAAAAGCAGATTACACACACATCCCGTGTTTACTGAGCACATGCAAACTAATCCTGCAAGTAAAAAACACAGGAAATACACTCTGCTGGATCCTTTTTTTAACATCTAATGAGCTCACTTTTGCTCAGATATTGAAAAAGAAAAGAAAAAAAAGCCTCAAAAATGGATTATCGGTGGATCTATAGCAGTGTTTCCTGCAAAGCTATTCAGCTGCTAAAACCACAGCTCTACAAAAAAAATAGTTGTGAGCTTGAAGTCAGAATTGAATGAATCACATAAAAAGACTGTGTATCACAATATAATGCCAAGAAAACACATCTTTCTCTTGTTGTCTTAGCTGCGATAAAAAGCAACATTAGGCTCAATTCTGGTGTGATTCAATTCAGGAGACTCACAAACTCAAGCGTTAAGATTTGAATCAGTCTGATGAATCCTTGACCAAATGATTCCATGAATATATCACTAATAACTCTCCTACACTGTCACTAACACTTATTTTCTTTCTGATCTGATACCAAATGTCATTAATGCTGTTATCAGTCCTAACACTGATAAAATGGGCAATAATTATGGGTATTTTGCTATTTCAAACAATACAAAAACTTATCAGCCTATAAAAAAGGTCACATTTAGCTTGGTTGTTATTTAATGGACTGAAATACTGTAACTCCAGATGAAGCTTCTTTTCTCTGTCATTACCTCAGGTTCTCAGCACATTCTTTGGTTAAATGTACCCATGTTCAGATGAGCGAAAGGAGAAATAGTTCTCATTCAAAACAAACATTTGCAAACATATCACTGTTTTCACTTTAAAGCTTATGATACGGAATATTAACACCATTTTAAACACATTATAAAATTTAAAAGGGAAGTTCACGCCTAAATGAAATGTATTCATTCTCATTATGTTTCTAAACCTGTATTATTTCTTTGACTTTCGTCTGAAGAACATAAAAAATATATTTTAAGAAATGTCTAAGTGTGTGTGTGTTTTTTTTTTGGTCATACAATTAAAGTCAGATGTAACCAAACTGTTTAGTTTCAAAATATCTTCTTTAATGTTTTGTAGAAGAAAGTACATCACGAAGATTGAGAGCAATATGAAGATGACAGATATCCCTTTAAAACATACACATTTATTACTAAAATAGTAAAAACGTAATAAAATGTTAAATGGATGATCAGACGTATAAAGAAAGAAAGGAAAAAAAAGAAAAATTGACAAGATGCTGGAAAATACAGGACAGGCCTGAGCATGTGTCCATAGATCTCCAAAGAATGATAGGACGCTTGAAGGAGTGATAAGAGAGAAATAAAGAGAGGAAGGCAGAGAGAGAACATTCGCATATCTTTCATATTTTGATGGATTCCAGTACTTTACTCTCTTGTAGACACATGACCAGTAATGTCTTTCTATCTATTCTGTGTTTGACTGCAGACTGCAGACAGCAGGGAGCCATGATCAATGCCATCTTCTCCAGAGAGCAGGACTGTAGGACACACGCTGAGCGTGATTCTTTACGGACACACCATCACCAGGACTTTCACATACACAATCTTTCTCACATTCCAACATTTTTCCCATTGTTACTTTGTGTGACCCACTGTACTGACCCACGGTTTTCAATATGTAATCAATGATCAGAGGAACTCTCATGGCATCTGAGGAAGTGGGTGGAGAAGCAGCGTGAGCTGACGTCTGAGAGGAGCGAGTCCAGGCAGAGCCAGACAGCCACAGCTGTAGTGTGTTTGATTATTCCAGACACACAGACATGCTCAGAAAAACATGTGGCATACACCCACCCTCACGCACAGTGGGAATAGAGATTTCAAATCTCACAGCCTGACACAAGGGGAGAGCTTCAGTCTGCCTCTGGATGCCTTTTCATGTCAAGAATCAGCCCTATACAACTGCCTGTTACTTTGGTCACTGAGGTTTCTTCTCTTTGCTGTTACAACTGTTTTTCCAATATACATATCTAATCTATATTTTTAATGTTTCTCTTCACACAAGTATTACTATTTATGCTAAATGGTATGGTTCATAATAAGGTAATAAAACTGAATGAAATGAATGCAAGTGATAGGATGCAAATCCATTTTTTAAAAACGTTTTTATGCTCACTAAGGCTGCATTTATTTAATAAAAATACAGCAAACATTTTCTATTTTAATATACCCTAAAATGTAATTTATTCCTGTGATGGCAAAGCATCATTACTCTAGTCTTCAGTGTCAACACACTATTCAGAAATCATTCTAATATGATGATTTGTTGCTCAAGAAACATTTCTTATTATTATCAATGTTGAAAACAGTTGTGTTGCTTAAAGGGGTCATATGATGCTGCTAAAAAGAACATTATTTTGTGTATTTGGTGTAATGAAATGTGTTTATGTGGTTTAAAGTTAAAAAACACATTATTTTCCACATACTGTACATTATTGTTTCTCCTCTATGCCCCGCCTTTCTAAAACGCGTTGATTTTTACAAAGCTCATCGGTCTGAAAAGCGAGGTGTGCTGTGATTGGCCAGCTATCCAATGCGTTGTGATTGGCCGAATACCTCAAGCGTGAGACGGAAATGTTACTCCCCTACCATACTGTTGATGCCGTGTCCGGCCGGAGCGACGAGACAAAAACATTAAAACCCATTATAAACGAGGCATTTGTTGCATCCAGTGGGGACATAATTACGGATTATAATGACTTATACTGTCTTTTTACGCGTTGCGTTACATTGCGTCGCGCCGCGTAAACATAAAACTCTGTCTGCATTTGTGATCAGAGAAATGACAAACAAGTGCTACTCTACACTGCTCAAAACTCGCGTTTGAATCATCAGTGGCAAATCCTTTAAATGAAAACGTACTTAGGTGAGTCAGAACTGCCGACATTTTAGTCTAACGTTACTCTCCCAGGATCAGTAAACAGTCCTCCATAAAATGTGATGCACACATCTGGCTATTTGGGTTAAACTGTTCTGGAACAGGCCGGGATAGAGTGAGCTGAGGCCGGGCTAGAGTGAGCTGAGGCCGGGCTAGAGTGAGCTGAGGCCGGGCTAGATTGCGCTGAGGCTGGGATAGAATGAGCTGAGGCCGCGGGGTCGAGAACGGACAAGCACACAGCATCTTCAGGACATGGCTGCAGCGTCAACAATACTAACAGCGAGAATAAAATTTACGCCTTCTTTTTCGCTGAACATTTGGGCGGCGTTATGCAAATCTTCCCAGATAGTGACGTAGGTATGAGGGGGGCGTGTTAGAACGAGCCGTTTTAGGTAGGTGTTGCTGACTCTGAACTTTTATAAAGAATATCTCTTTGGATTTGAGACTTTAGTCTTTGCAACTTTACAGATCTTTTTTATGCACCAAGAGCTTGTAACACTCCAAAGAGAAAGGAAAAATTGAAATCGCATCATATGACCCCTTTAACATCTTTGTGGGATAATTTGTGGATTTTTTGGGATGTTTTGATGAACAGAAAGAGAACAGCATTTATTTAAAATATAAATCGGTAACACTTCGGTAACAATATAAATCGCTAACAAGCCTTTATGAATATCGCATTATAAAAGGTATTCATAATGTACAGTGTAATATATTATATCTTTATATAAATAACTTTAACAAAAGTTAAAATGCATTATATTATTTGAAGGTTAATGCATTATACTTTCAAAGGGTGTAACAATGAACAGATAAGTAATGTATTTTAACTGTCGTTACAATTATTTGTAAAATCATACAGTACAATTCATTATAAGGTGAATTACAATGCATATTTAATGCATAAAAACTACTTTTATAATGTATTACACAAAGGCTTTAAGTGTTACCTAGAAATCTTTTGTAACATTTTCATACAGTACAATTCATTATAAGGTGAATTACAATGCATATTTAATGCATAAAAACTACTTTTATAATGTATTACACATAAAGGCTTTAAGTGTTACCTAGAAATCTTTTGTAACATTATATGTATTTACTGTCACTTTTGATCAATTTAATGCATCCTTGCTGAATGAAAGCATTAATTTCATCACACTGAAGTTGCAGTCACATTAGATTTTAAGCATGTGAAGTTTCTATGAAGACTGTAATGGTCTTAATACGATGTCATACAGTCATATTCAATCTGCTCCACTTTACCGCAATGCTGCAGATTTAAAGTATGCATTCTTTGAAATTCAGTTTACAGGTCACACCATGACACATCAATCTTCTATGGGAAAGATGCTACAAATTTGCATCAAACGGGAACTTTGGAAAGCAATGAAATTTGTATAAGCCTGCATTTCCTGTCTCCCAAATTCGTATGCGTAAGAATGAGTGTAGTATGTCCAGCCTGATCCTTCGAAATCAGTAATGGACATGCCTTTATATGCTATGAACAATGATCTATACGAGTAGTCCAAAATCCTAAACACAGCTATGCAGGTACTCAAAGATGAGTAATTCCCCTCCCATCTAGCTCTCTCTATTTCTCTCTCTATTTAAACCTCCAAAAGTCTGCGTTACAGAAAAAGTTATACACAAATTTCTCACCCAATCATCTCCTATAGCATGCTCATTAGCAGATGCATCAATAAACCTACAATGTATATTTATCTGCCATCCAATGAACATGCTGGGAGCTCTAACTGCTTTCTTAGCAATAAAAAAATGTAAATTGTTGCAGAATGTGTGTCTGGCCTCACCTCTGGGTGTCATGTGTAACCCAGCCAAACGATTCCACCGCTACAGGGTGGCCTGCAGCCAGTCAGCACCCACACCACTGCCAGACACTAATGAGCATGTTAAGACTCTCTCAGCAGAATAACACCACAAACTGGGCCCTGCTTCACACCCAGCCCTGGTCCTTCATCCATACAGTCACCCAGAGTCAACACTGGAAAACACAACACTGCTATTTTTACTCAGCACCACCAACACACCTGTCACAAGGCAAGAGCAAAGGACACAAACAGCGTCTATGCCCACACGGACGTATAAGAGTGACTATCACATGATCACGTGCACATCCTACTCGAGCAAAGTGACTCCTGAAACACACCAGGAGAAGTCTGTACTTGCAGAAAAAGCCAAAACAGCAGACATCAAGAGCGTCATGCTGCCACTCTTTGAGCTTCAAATCAAAAGCACAGCTGATGAAATGCTTCAACGAAGCTGATCCTGACAGCAGAGGAAGTAAAAATGATCAATGTCATCACAGAGGAAGAGCATGGATATAAATAATTAAGAGGAATAAATAAAAAAGCCCCGTCTTTGTCATCTCATCAAAGATTCAATATGCAGGATGCATGAAGACTTGATTCTGGATGAGATTCCCAACCTTAAAGCTGCATTTAGGGTTCCCACATCTTTGACAAATTACTTTTCCAATCCGTCGTGATTACAATATAAAGATTTTAAAAAATCAATTTCTTTATTTTAATTTAATGTACAAATTTCCTTGACTTTATTAATTTGATTAATTTTCTTTAATATACATTTTTTCAAACTTAATTCATATAAACCATTTTTAAATTAAAATTGGTCATAACATTTTCTTTTATAAAGTCTATCTTTGTTCTGCCCCAAACCGGCAGTTCACCAAAAACATGCCTCTGGTTAAAATATAAATCACAATGCAAGGCTGTGCAAACAAGAGCATATGTTTCAGAACAACTCCTCAGAAAGAAAATCTATGTATGACTGACTTAGAGTTGTCTCTACAAACTAAGTTAGAAGAGTAGAAAGTATTTTAAGTATCAAAAAAGTTACACACTTCACCAACAAAACCAGAGACATATTGTATGTTATCAAGAACTGATCCAGTATCTTGCCTAAAAACCACTCATTGTCACGCAACACATGCTATGTCACACAAAGTGTTTATTTAGAGCATCTGCCAGCTTGCTATCCACTCATGTTTTTCCTTTCTGCAATGTGTGTGTGTGTGAGTGTTCTCATTACATACACAGTTAAAGAGCAGACTGGGAAGTCACGGCTATTGATTGTGATGGAATGCTGACAGCGGTAGAGTTCCACAGCTCTTCTTGTACAGGATGCAATGTAAGCATGAGCCTGAGTGGGTTATATTGACTTCATATGGAGGGGATCCAGCTTTACAGTGGACATGCCACTTCAATACTCTACTCTACTTGAGTGGGTATGTATTCCTGCCACTATGTGAGCTCAAGTGTGAGTTTGTATATATGCGTGTGTTATGAAGCAGAAAATGTATGATGTCATAAATATGATGTGATGTTGACAGTAAAAATGCACTGCATGAGTACAAATACACTATATATGCAAATACAGTGTCTTTTTAACTTTTTATGAAGGGAAAATATTTGTCCCCTGGCGCTGAACTTAAAGCGCATTTTTTACGTTTATGAGGGAATATTTTATAAATACAAACATGCACACACATATATACTGTTTAAGGCATGGAGTCGGTACGATTTAAAAAGAAGTGTTGCTCACCAAGGCTGCAATTACAGTAAAACACATTAAAAATAGCACTATTGTGAAATATCAGTATTCAGTACAATTGAAAACAATTGCTTTATATTTGAATGTATTCCAAAATGTAACTTATTCCCGTGATGGCAAAGCTGAATTTCCATCAGTCATTAGTCCAGTCTTTAGTGTCACATAATTCTTCAGAGATCATTTTTAATGGTGCACAAGCAACTTTTATTATTATTGTTGTCGTTACTATTATTATCATCATCAATGTTGAAAACATTTGTGCTGCTTAATGTTTTTGTGTCTGATTAGTCAACAGTGACACATTTGTTTTTCACGATTTTTAATGAATAGAAAGTTCATAGAATAGCATTTACTTAAAATAGAAATCTTCTGTAACATTGTAAATGCCTTTAATGTCTTTTTAATTTAATAAAAATATGCTGAAAAAGATCTTACTGACCCCAAACTTTAAACCTATGTAAATATATAATTAAAAAATGTAATAAATAAAAATACTTAATATTATTAACATCAAATTCAAAGTAGCTATAAATAATCATTTAAGAATCTGTCCAAGAATATAAGATAAACAGGTTAATGCTAAAATAAATATAAAGTTATATTTATATTATAACTATTATCATTTCTTCCCCAAACCTTGGTATACTGGGTCTCAAACAACATATGTGGTCTTACCAACTGATTTTACAGTGACAGTCTTGGTGGCGGATTCGTCTCCAATCTGCTGCCAAATCCAGTCAGGTGCAGTACCGCTTTGGGACCACTCGGTGGCGCTGCATCTGTACTGGCCCTCGTCTGTGGGGAAGGCATTATACAGAAACAGGGTAAATGTGTCGGGTCGAACCCGCTCCACCCGGATCTCTCCAAAGCTGCTGCGCTCCCTAAAGGTGGGCCCAGGAGTGACCGTGCCCTCACGATCCACTGAAGCCACATTCACAGCGGGACCCGCCCCCTCCTTATCTGTCCACTGCCACGACACTGACAGGGGACCCACAGTGCTGCTAACAACGCAGGTCAACTGGACGGTCTCCCCCTCCATTATCTCTGACGTGTTACTGGATAATGACACAGTGATGTTACTTCCTATGAGAGACAGACAAACAACAGAGGAAATGAGACATCAATCTTTGGAAACATGACACTAGTGCTAGTTTATCATATTAATTAGAGTACATTTACATTATGTATGAGTAAATTAGTCATGACAAGCTGTACAAGAAACAACTCTACAAATTCTCATTGGGTGAAAACTGCCTTTGTAATACAGTCCCTTAAAGGCAAGTACACAAGAACACTATTTTCCCTGTATAACGATGCAATTGTATCATCAGCTTAGTTTCTTTTGCTGGCTGGCCAAGCAAATGCACATTCTGGAGCAATATATTGAGGTGCTGCCTTTACCTATATGGCAACAGGCTCTTTTTTAACTTAAAGGTCAGACATCTATACCAACAGTAACCATTTTTAGCATTTCAATCTCTCCCATTAATTTCTGTTAATGTCTGTTTTCTTCTACAATATTGTATTGCAATAAAAAATACAGTAAAACAGAAATAATGTTAAATATTTTTTACAATTTAATTTCTTATGATCATTTTTTAAAACGGTTGTGCTAATTAATACTTTTGTGGGAATCGTGATGCTTTTTTTCAGGATTTTTTGATGAATAGCAAAGTTCATAAGTTCAACAGCAGTTATCTGAAATAGAAAACTTTTGTAATATTCTAAATGTCTTTACTGTCAATTTTGTTAAATTTAATGCATGCCTGCTAAAGTATTAATGTATTTTTTAAAAAAAAGAAAAAATATAGAAAAAGTAAAAAATATATAGAAAAAGAAAGAAAGAATCTTACAAACCACAAACTTTTGAATGGTAGTATATCAACTGTCATTGATTAAGTATAAAATAACATGATATTTAATGCAAAACATATGCATAAGTTGACTGACAGTACAATAAGAAGTCATTTGCAATGGTTTATGGGAGTGGGTGTACAGGCCTCTCTCATCTTTTTAAGTGGGAGAACTTGCACAATTGGTGGCTGACTAAATACTTTTTTGCCCCACTGTAGGTCTGTGGGTAGAGCAGTTTTTCAATTTAAAGAATAATTTTTAAGTTGAAGTTGAAAGTTGCTTTTACAGAACATTGAATCATTTGACAACATTTGAGCTCATGTTAGGTCTGAGGTTTGCACAATATCACTAAAATCAATATATGAATGGCATCTTTTCTTCCATATCTTTCCGTTGCACTCTACAGCAGACTAGGCCTCAGACTAGCAGTACCTCTGGAATAGTTTTCTAATCAAGAGGTCTAGAGCCTGAGAGATCTCATAAGCACGAGTGTAGATCAAAGCCTTCGCAGATATTGCCAGAGTTCTCGACAGGGATTTCACACCACCACGTCCCTATAAAAGCAGCATGTGATAAAACAAAAATGGGACTTTAAAGAGACAAAGTTTGCGCACTTCCCATGGGTCACCAAAGGCTCTCTTCAGAAAGAGGTTCTAGCAGAACTTCTTGAGAAGAAAACCACCATGACCAACCAGGCAACGAACACAAGAGGCTTTGATTTCATACATAACAAAAGTGAAACATCTGGGGATGAAACCTCTTCAATTTCTAATGTGCTCCTATTCTCTGAGAAGATGAAATAAGAAGTTTACACGATGATCAGTAGGGGTATGGCTGTACTTTCACCCAGTCCAGTCTCTCAGTGTCTCTATATGCAGATGCTTCAGTCGTATATATTGCCTGAAAGATCTACTTAGATAGTCAGTGAGGTCTTGAGCTGAAGAGAGAGAGAGTGAGCATGTGGGTGAAGAAGGGGCTAAACTCTGTGCTGTCTCGAATCCATACTGCAACTATCAATCTACTGCTATAATAACCCTGCAAATATTGCACAGGTTCTCCTGCGGGGGCAAAGACAAAAAAAGACCAAGGCATGGTGTAATAAAGTGCCTCATTAACAAACCTTTCCAAGAGTCCTTTCACTTTTTCTAGCCATCTTAAAAGGACATTTCACCCAAACATACTCACTTTCACGTCGTTCCAAACATGTACGACTTTTCTTTTCTTTATGTTACACAAAAGAAAATATTTTGCAGAATATTTTTGCCGGTAGAATGAAAGTCAAGGGGTCCAACACAATCACATCATACCTCATTGAGTTTCATTGTACGGACAAAAAAAAACCTGGGACATTTTTTATGAATATTCTAAATAGATGTGTTACAAAGAAAGGCATACAGGTTTAGAATGATGTTAAGGTAAATAAATGATGATTGAATTCACATTTTTGGCTGAACTATCGCTTTAAGAGAGAAACTGGCACAAGAACAAGTGGCGGAACTGCGGCTAATTCATATATATTAAAGTGCATTTAATTTTCATTTAAAAGTTCATAATTTTATTTTTGGGGTCTGCTAGAAAACATTTACATGATTTAAAGTTCATAAAACATTTTTTTCCTCACACTGTACATTGCTGCAGCACCTATTTTCACCCTCTGCCTGAAGCATCCATTGTAGTTCCAGTGTCTTTAAAGCCTGACTTTTCGAAAACCCCAGTGTGCTTTGATTGGTCTGTTGTGATTGGTCAACCATTTGGAGCATGTGTCAGAAATGCAACGCTCCTTACCATAATCGGGTTTCAGCTCCCGAGGCTTCATACGTAACAGTAAACAGGATTAAATCTATGGTAACTATGGCTTCGGGTTTGGAAGTTCATACAATTTTTTGCCCACGTAGCGGAAAAAAAGCGTCTCCTTCACTTAACCAACTTGTTTTCTTGAGGGTGGGCCAAAGCAGCCAGTAGGTGGGCATTATGGAAATATGTAACATGCTGATGTAGCTAAACCATGTAAATAACTGCAAAAAACATAGTGTGTTGTTTTAATGCATACTTGCCGGACATCCTTCAAGACCCTATAAAAGCTGATTCCCCTGAGGAGAAAGAAAGAAAGATCTCCTTCAACTTATAGAGTGTGAAAGGACTGTTGTTGGAAGAGGCTGGATTTGGGTGGCCAAAGTCTGAGCAGAACAGATGTATTCTTACTAACCTTTGATTAACCTCTGCTCCCCCATCTAGCTTTCATCAACTCCTTGAGCTCAATTGTGGTTTCTCAGCCTGGGCACAATCACATCAACCTTGGGGATCTACCAAGGCTATGCTGAAGGCGACGGCGTTCCCACTTTCATTTCATGCCTGTTAGACTTGGCTTTTCAAGTAACTCTCACTTGAAATGCAATGCTATTTCAAGGGCTTTTCAGGCCTCCACAAAACCAAGTTGTGAAAAAATGCTGTGCATTAAATGATTTTAGACAGGACACAGTACTGTATTGCCCACTCACAAGCACCTTACCAGTGCAGCTACTCTGAAACTCTAGCTTTGTATTTAAACTCAAGCCCTTTCAAATAGAGAACTACAAGCTACTAACATAACACAGACAACTATTCTAAATGTATTTAATGGGGTATCACCTTTTTAAATGAATAGCTTGATCATTTGATGATAATGATTGTTTTAAACAATCAGAGAAGCATTTACAGTATTGCTCAAAGTCTATAATGCACATCAATACTGCATTTATTTCATTAAAAATATAATAAAATCAGTAGTATTGTGAATTATTATTACAATTTAAAATAACAGATTTCTTTTTAAATGTATTTTAAAATGTAATTCTTGTGATGGCAAAGCTAATTTTTCAGCAGTCAGTCATCAGTGTCACATGATCTCTCAGAAATCATGGTGCTCAATTATTATTGTTGTTGAAAACAGTTGTGCTGCTTAATATTTTAGTGGAAACTGTAATGCTTTTTTCAGTATTCAGAATTATTTTATAAATAGAAAGTTTAAGAGGACAACATTTGTTTGAAATATAAATCTTTTGGCAGGACCAACAGCCTTGTGGGCAGCGTGCCAACATATAGCACTGTTGCACTTCGGGCGTCCAGAGTTTGTGTCCCGGCTTGCGGACCTTTCCCGAACCCGCACCCCCCCCAAAATCACTTCCTGTCTAATAACGGTCTTATCATAATGAAACACCAAAAAGAAATCTCTAAAAAAATAAATATTAATCTTTTGTCTGTACAGTCACTTTTGATAAATGTAATGCATCCTTGCTGAATACAAGTATAAATTTTCTTCTAAATAAAATGGGACTACAATTTAAAATAACATACACATACATACATTCAACTCGCTAGCTGATTTTTGATACTTGTCAGGGTTTTGTTGTTCATGTAAACACCCTCAATGTGACAAATTGATATAGTGTTCTGTCACACTCCACTGCTACTTGTTAATGATAAAGTTCTACTATCTAGAAAACAGCTGAACTGCTTTCACACTACTGTTACTTTTTTCTCCTGTTTACTCAATACTTCTAACAGTGGGAGAGAGAGAGAGAGCACCTGGCACAAGAACTGAAAAGCATCTGAGAAAATAAGGGGCAATACTAAGTGTAAACTCTGTGCTTTAGAAACCTTCAGCAGAAATAAGAACTTCAATAGCCGTTTGCCTCCACAATATTACTAAATCAATTCCTTCTAAGCTAAACTAGCCCAGAATAATCCACTTAAGGTAACGAACATCTGAATTGAGGCCGAAAGGTTCATGTTTTCATTTAATAAGAGCGCTGTTGAGAGGTATCAGCTGACTACTCTAGGGGCCAGTCAGAAACAGAGGGCCGATAAAGAACCGTGATACTCACTGAGAGGTGTTACACTGATCTGAACATTACGGGACCGCTTGCTGCGGTCGATGAAATCTCCAGTGAGGGTCTTCTCCCGTTCCGTCACTCTGCAGATGTATTTCCCAGAGTCCTCTGGCAGTAGACGCTGCAACTTGAGCAGGTGGACGGAAGGGCTCTCTTTGCGCACGGTCAGAAGGCCGGTGGCTTCCCGCTCCATGTAGTTGGGTCCCAGTACGGGCACGGCGCTGGGCCCAATCACGGCTACGGGTGAGCTGCTGAAGACCCACGACACCGAGAAGAAGCGCTCTGGAACATTCTGAGCATCAATGGTGCAGCGGAGCTCCAGCGGCTCACCAGCCGTGTAGGCCCGGCGCTCAGTGGTCACCTGGATACTAAAGTCCCGATCTGCGAGAGAGAGAGAGAGAGAGAGAGAGAGAGAGAGAAGATGATTTAGCCATGACAAAACGGTCCACATTGGACTAAATTCAAACCGAAATGCTCACATCAAAAGCAAATGAATCTTCATTTATAGAACTAATTTCCATATGGTATGCAGTTTGTGCGCCTCATCAGAAAAGCACTTTCTTTACTTCATTTGGCTTCTTCAGAGGTGATTGCCCCTGGGCTCTAATTACTTCAACACACTTCCTGAGAAATGCTCTAACTGCGTAAGTACATGGCACTAACACAGAGAAAGGGAAATGTACAGGGGGGATGATGATGTGTGTTTTTACATGCAGCCATTATTTGGGTCTCGTGCTGTGCGCTGCTCTCCAAAATAACAGCACAGTAAACAGGCCTGTGCTAAAAGAGGAATTCACAGATCACAGGGAAACAAAGGCCAGTGGCTGTTTTTCCTTTCCTCCTGTGGTACTCAAGCAGCGTGATGCTCCATTAGGACATTACTGCCCGCCTGATCGGAGCCAGTCTGTGTATTAGGACTAAATCTGCACGCTTCAGACAGATTAATTAGCAGTGGAGATGAAGGGCTGCACGTGGAAATGAATGGGGAAAAACGGAGAGAAAGGCGACAGGATACATTAGGTGAATACATATACCTCTCTGTTCTACATTAGACTGCAGTGGAAGAGAGGTCATCAAAATTTGAAATCTGTCTGCGTTTGCCGGATGATTGCTGTCTGACTGATTTTTCATACCCAGCTCTGTGCTTCATAATTAGCATCAACAGGCTAATCAACACATTACATATCAATAAACATCCAGACATTCTTTACCAGCCCTAGTACATTTTGGATTAAAAGGACAGCAAAAGAATGGGCATAAATTAGTGTTTGGTGATATACTGAATATTAACATTCAATTGTAAATTAATTTCCATAAATCATCCATTATTCCATGGTCATGACTCAAAAATACACAACCATTCAAAAGTTTTGGGCCAGTAAAATTATCAAAAGTAACAGTAAAGACATGTTTTCAACATTGACAATAATAAGAAATGTGTCTTGTGCAGCAAATCAGCATATTAGAATGATTTCTAATATATATTTCTAATTCTAATATACATATATATATATACATATATATATATATATATATGTATTGTATGTATGTATATATAATATATATATATATACACTTACAGTATGTATTATGTATTGTATTGTATATGTATATGTATTGTGTACATTCATGAAACTGTACACAATGGAATGCGCACATGTGACAGGGCTAGTGCCATCTAGTAGTCGCTGATTTTCTGTGTCTCAGCTGCGCGTGGATCGCGAGCTGTGTGTGTGTGGATTGGGCAAGGCTAAAAGGGCGGAACAAAAGTCTCAAAATTCAAATGAATCCAATATAATCGACTCAGAAGAGACGTGGATTAATGCACTCACATCGCCTGATCCACAAATGCACATTTTAATCGCTACATGCACAAATTATGATACTTTAATGCATTTTTTTTTAAACTGTAACATTTGTATTCACAAATATGTCTTTATTTGAACAAAATGCTGCACATTAATGTAATTCTTAACTCTGTAGACACCGGTTGAAAAGCATTTTTGCTTAACATAAATGACATTTGGAAAATGATATGCATTGCAACGCAGTTTGTGCAAGTCAAGAACAGAGATCGGCTACAATAAAACAATAAACGGCCGGTTGCCGATTGCGTAAGTTCCAGAGGAAGCTCCTTCGGCCATCATACACACACGTGACTGACCGCTCACTCGCACCAACAGGAGGGGGAGGGGGCGTGTTACTCTCTACAGTGCACTAAACCTGAGGGATTCCTACACTTTCAGTCTTTGAGGAGACATGAAAACAGCGCAAACCGCAGGAACAGTATAACGGAAAACATTAGCGGTTTTGAAACCGTGACATTTTCAAATCGCGATATATCTTGAAACCGGTAATCGGCCCATGCCTAATGCAGAACAGAACATTTTTATTCACAAACATGTCTGTATTTATACAAATCGCTGCACAATCATTTAATCCCGACTTCCACAGACTCAAATTGAAAGGCATTTGTTTGTGGGTAGTAAGATACATGTATAAAATGTATGCAGTACATGGATAATTGTGCGTGCATCTATTAATCATTTTGAGTCTAATTTCATCCCATAGTCATCAGCCATCATCAAGGGCATTCATTGATCAAGGACCCACTGTACTATGTAATCAAAGTCAAAAAATTTAAGGCAGATGGTACTGCAAAAACAAAGGAGATCAAAAACGGAAAAGACAAATGTTTCCGCTTTAAAAATGAAACGTAAATTATTCAGCAACAAAAATCCCACAGTTTGCGGTGATGTTCTAGTGTGCTCAACAGCTCAGAGAAGACGACAGCAAAAGTATGCTGCCTATACTTCTTAAGTTCTCCTTCATGCATCCTGGAAGAGATGATTGACAGACAGGAGTACAAAAGTGCTTTGTACAAAAGACACACAAAGTACACTATGTTCACTGAACCCTAGACCTCAGGGGCTGACATCTTATTAGAATCTAATTATGAAGACGTTCTCCCTCCTTTTACAGCTTTGTTATATATTCAAGTACAGTACAATACGACGACTGTGGACAAATCTGGCATTCATAAGAAGAGGGATACTTTCAAAGTCATATGAATAAAGATTTTAGAATGGGAAGGAAATGTCAGGATTTAGGGTTCACAGCATGAATGACGCCATTAGATTTTAATTTAGTATGCACAATAGATTTGTATGACAGCTAACCAGAGAGTGAAAGAGAGAAAGAGAGAAAGAGACAATTGTGTTGAGTGGGAGCGGTAATAACTGTGGTAGCTGGAAGGGGGCTGTGTGAACAAGCTGCTGTGTGGGATTCGCTGCCAAAAGCTTCGTCACAAAATGAGTCCATCGATCTGCTGTAGTATGTGCTTCAATGAGCCATTTGATGTCCTATTAATGCTTACTGCACAACTTCTGTTTTTCCCCACAGTTCACCAGAGCAATAAACACATTAACAGCCAGATGAGAGAAAACACACAAACGTTTACACGTGTTATGAGCATGACATATGGTGTGCATTGAGCTAATGTCAACATAAATATGCAAAACAGAATAATCGCACATGACCGAGTGTATAATCGCGCACCTCTCTTCAGCAGCTTTGAGCTCCCCTGCTGGAAAATCCAGTTTATAGTGTTTTTTTGGAACATGGTTACTGGTTTCTAGTTGGACCAAGTTGGTAATTGGCTGGTTGACCAGCTAGCATGTTCTAAAAACCAGCTTGAGCACCATAAACTGGTACGACCAGTTGGTTACTGGTTTGTTGCTAGTGCAAGATGGTGTACAAGATAATGACAAAGCTGTTCCAAAACTACTACTACGAGCTTAAACCAGACTTTCTAGCCAATTCAACAGAGCCAATTCAGTCAACTACAAATTAAAATACATAAACTGGCTGCATTCCCTCAAAACAGCCACCCAATCACTCCTGCACAGACATGTGCACTTTTAATTGAGCCTAACAGGCCAATGGCTAGTACACAGAGAACATTTGTGAGTGTGTTGTCTAGCTGGAAGGGGACTTGAACACAGCCAGCTAGAAAAGGGGATTACAGACAAATCTGTCTTCTCTCGTCTCAGTGTTGCTCTTGAAATGCTCTCCGGAATTTCTAATGTGAATCTCAGTCAGGTGAAGCCTGGCTTGCATACTGAAGGATCAGGCCGTAATGACTTCACCTTGACTCCCTTTAAAATCCATTAAACATTTATGTTAGAACTACCTTCTAATAAAGTTTCCAGTTTTTTAATAAACCCTTCCCGTATACAATTTCTGGCATCTTTTAAAGAAAAGGAGAGAAAAAAAAGTCCATGGCCTAAAGACAGCACCAAACAGGTCTATGACTAAAACTGAATCTCTGAGGAATATCTCTGTACATCCACTGCTTAAAATAACATTTAAATACATTTTTTGTTTACTTGGCCTTTATAGCCTTGTTATTTTAGAATAATTACTATTACGATTTTTGTTCACTTGGTCTTGATAGCATTGTTATTTTAGAATAGTTTAAATACTATTATAATATTCATTAATACTTCGAATTTTGCTTTTATTTTCATTTTTTTATTTTTCAGTTTTATGTTTTATTTCACTTTTTTCTATTTCTATTATTTCTGTTTACTGCAGGTTTAATTTCTTTTTTTTGTTCAGTTTTAGTTTGAACAATTTTAGTACTTCTCTAAAGGCTTTCAAAGGCCATTTACTGTAAATAGCCCCACATACTGAGACTTTCAAAACAGCACTTACCAATAAACATTATAAATTAGTTTATTGTAAGCAACTAAATCACTGAAATGTTTCAACTCTACTCTAAGCTCCTTTTAACATAGTGAGCTTTTTCCTGATGTCCACTTACAATCAAGTATTCTTGCACCAAAACAGAGGCTATTTAGTGTTACATTAACTTTTTTCACTCTCTCTGAAGCTGCAGGAGTTTTGCTACTGTACCTTTTAAATCTTATGATCAGTTAGACTACTAATGTAGTTCACACTTCTAAAGTGGGGTCACAATTAACATTTCTCTGTCAAATGTTGTGTGCATAATCCAATTATTTCAATAGAAATCCATGTGAAAATGAGCTTTGCACAGATTCTATCTATTAAAATGACTGCATTTCACTCAAAAAAGTCCCCAAAGCAGATGCAGCTCTTATTCAATTTGATGACGCAAATATACTGTTGACCAACAGAAATCAGGCTTAAAAGTGGCTTCATATATTGCTACACCATTTACAATGGTGTTTTGCCAAAATTGCACTAATGTGACCCCATCTTTAATCATTAGGCAGGGCCAAATTTGTTCTATGCTGAATAAGCAGTGAGAAGTAAACATTAAAGTAAAGAAGATATTTCTGTGTCCATACAATATCAGTCAGTGGCCACCAAAACAGTTTGGTAACCAACATTCTTCCAAATATTTTCTTTTATGCTACACAGAAGAAAGTATGTTTCAGTTTTAATGTTGGGTGATTCACGAGCATTAAATGTAACTGAATCACTGAACCATTTCTCTTTTAAATGTCTACACTTTTGTGCCAATTTACTTTTCTACTGACAGTCAAAGTGGCTATTTAGTGTAACATGGCCATGTATCAAGAATCACTGGTCATTGAACTGAAGGGAAGTGGATGAGTCTTCAATCTGTCTCTATGAGGAGCTTTTCTGGTCTGCATTCATCTCACCCTGATCCTACACCACTGAAGACCACAAACCATCACACTATTAGGCTCTAGTCCCCATCTGCAGCCTGACTCTGTGGAGGTGCCCTTGGGAGACAGCCATCCTAAAATCACAACCTGTCCTCTTCTCGTCCAATCCACCCAACCCCTGAGACTCTTGACCAATAACAGGGCTGAATTAACATGCCACTCGCAGCTCCCGTCCTGCAGCGCATTTGATGAGGAGGTGCGCTGTCACCTCCCATTCCCATCAAATCGCTGGGCCGATGTGCTTTGAGATTGAGTTACAGCCCTGTGTGTTCAGTCAGTCAGAGAGAGACAGCACTCACGTCTGCTGTACATGCGGTCTTATGCTCAGGATGGAGCGACGGCTCTGTAATAAATTGGAAAGTAATGGACTAAAGCCGGAGATGAGGGAGGCATTTTTCTGCCCCAGCCTCTGTTCTGTGAAATATGGCTATTCTGGAGAACGGGAGAAAGGAAAGGTTCAGATCTATGGCGTTGTGTTGAATAGTTCTCCCAACACAACTGCAGTGTGTGACAGGGCCAAATTTTTATGTTAGCTCTCAAATCAAATGTGGGGTTATTAGACATCAAGATTTGACAGCGACATCAAACATCCTTGGTTCTCATTGCTAAAAGTCTGGCACAATTAACTTAAACAACAACTTAAAGGAATAATTTACCCAGAAATGAAAGTTCAATCATCATTTACTCATCTTCATGTGGTTAGCAGTCTTCTTCTGAGGAACACAAAAGAAGCTAATTTTGAAGAAAGTTTCAACTAATTGTCCATATAATAAAAGTCAACAAAGTACAGACATTCGAAAACACGGTAACACTTTAGAATAATGGTCCGTTGTTAACAAGTAACTATGCAGGAAGTAATAGGTAGTACTACATTAACACTTAACTTAATACGATTAACTAATAGAGAAGCAAGATTAACTAAGCAGTAAGTAGTAGCAAATTTAGGACAAAGGTAGTTACTTATTAGATATTTGATAATTACTAAAAATATATATCCTCATTGAGAACTATTTGGGAACTATGACCAGTTAATAAAGAATAACCAATTAATTACTAATCACAACAGTAACGTCTTAAAAGTGAACAATTGGGTTCTTTGTGGAAACTAATTTATGAATATGATATCCCCCAAATAAGTCGGCTACAGGTTGAAATTGTGACTACTACTCTTACCAAAGGACGGATGTTCTCTGTTTATTTCAAACAAAAACATAAAATAATAATAAAAAGTAATTCATTTAAAAATGTTAATAATTAGGAAGTGAGTGAATTAGTTCACAATTATGAGCTCTAGTTTGTGTCTCCGACTCCAAAAGACCTATACCTTTAGTGACAGTAGGCTGGGGAGGACTTTTCTTGAATATAAATAATGCTGTTCTCTTGACAAAAACAATTCACATCCTTAATGAATAATTACCACAAAGAACCCAATTGTTCACTTTTAAGACGTTACTGTTGTGATTAGTAATTAATTGGTTATTCTTTATTAACTGGTCATAGTTCCCAAATAGTTCTCAGTGAGGATATTTTTATTTAATAATTATCAAATATCTAATAAGGAACTACCTTTGTCCTAAATTTGCTACTACTTACTGCTTAGTTAATCTTGCTCCTCTATCAGTTAATACTATTAAGTTAAGTGTTAATGTAGTACTACCTATTACTTCCTGCATAGTTACTTGTTAACAACGGACCATTATTCTAAAGTGTAACCCGAAAACACTAATCATCAGATACATCCACAGACAACATAAAATATGTAGAAACAAACCCGTTATTATGTTTGTTCATGTGATATACTAGAACCAATAAGAATGTCAGTCGACAACTGAGGGTTGTCACCACATTTGATAAAGTCTATATATAGTCTCTGATTTGAGAGTGAATTGTGGCTTAAATTCCGATCTGTTCATCGTACAAAGTGTCACTTCAGTCGCCTTGAGCCACCTTTACACCATCTCCAACAAACATCAGACATTCATTTCTGATGGAAAGCAAAACAGGAGCTTTTTAAACTTTTGTGGCTGGACCCTATTTGACCACCCGACTGGATAAAGCGTATGATCATGAACACAAACTGACAAGTAGTACCAATATTTTTTTGCCCTACAATGTAAATCCTTAAACACAAATTCTGTAAAATGGGTAGTTATGAATAATTGTGGACAAAATAATTATTTTATAATTATTTAAAGTTAATTAGCCCTAGAAAAACTACTTGGGCTTTCTTTCAAACAGCGGTCATTTATTTTGTGCGGATGTATATTTATACATTCATTATTCATTCATTTTGCTATGGTGAATAAGCAGAGGGCAACAGCTGCTTTATGACCAATTTAAAACTTACATCTGCCACTAGGGGTTGAAATGTAACAATGAATTGTTTAGATTCAGTCAGGTGGAATGGATTCATTTCTCTGGTTCTTTTGGATTTTGAAAGTTCTGGACTACATTGAATTTCATTGAAATATTCTTGAAAATATCTACTTTTGTGTTCCACAGAAGAAAGAACATCATGAGCTTGGAAAGACATGAGGGTGAGTAAATGATGACAGAACTGACATTTCTTTCTCTTTAAAAGTGTTGGTCATCAAGCAGATGTCAGCCATAATTACTCAACTGATGTGTTGGAGTTAGACGAGTCGATGCGACTGGCTTGCTGCTACCTGATGCTGAGAGACCACTGAGACTTCACTATGATGCGCTCTATGATAACCTTCATGACACTGATGGTATCAATGTGCAGAGTGGACTTGTGAGAGCCGATGCCTGCTCTGTACTCAATGACAGGAAGTTTGATGTTAAGAGGATCAGCAGCCACCGCTCAGGGACTCCAGTAATGTGCTTAATTTTAGATAGTAATCAGCTCACAGGGCATATTTAAGGATTTCTGCAGGGAAGCAGAGTCATGCATGCCCTGTTTTAGAGAGCAAGGCGACCCATGAGCATGACATGGTTGAGTCATTTGTCTAATAGGGTTGAACTACACGCAAGTACTTCTGTGGTGTAAAGTGTTTGAAATAATTATTATCTTATTATATTAACTTCATATGAACAAACATAAAATTGGTAAGGGATAGAAGTAAAGTTTGTTCAATGTGTATTAAATGGATAGATCACCCAAAACTGAATTTGAACCTTCGGTATGATTTTTTTACTGTGCAACACAAAAAAATATATATTTTGAAGATTGTTGAACCAAACCATTTTAGTGACCATTGAATTTCATTATATGGACAAAAAACACTGTGGCATTTCTCACAACATCATCTTTCAAGGTAGAAAGTCATACAGGTTTGGAACGACAAGAGGGTGAGTAAATGATAACAGAATTTTCATTTTTGGGTGAACGCTCTCTTTATAGTTTTGGACCATGTATAATGTTCACAATCCAGTTTACATAGTTTTTTTGTCCAATGGAAATGTTTTGGGAAAATATGTTTTTAATCGGCTGAGAGAATAACACTCAGGTACACAACAATATGACTCCATCAAGAATCACGAATGGAAAACATCTGGGAGTAAACTGCTCATAAAACCATTGTTATGTTCATTTACATAAGATTGAATATACGCAACAGTATATACAAATATTTCCATGTTTCATGTTTCTTAGATTAATTTCCAAAATCTTCAAATGTCTTCTTTTGGCTTCATTTACACTGCAACTGAATATAGCTCAAATATGTGTTTTTCCACCTGTCAGAAGAAAACACCTCTTCTCTTCATTGTGTTAAATTAAATCAATCTCAGTGAATAATTAGCCATTTGGATTAAAAAAAAAAGCAATTAACCTCTGAAAGATGTTGCAATGAACCCCCAAACAACTGTAACTCACCTGTGGGCTGAACTTTGACAGACGTCTTCTCCGACTCTTTCCGGGTCATTGTGTACCAGAATCGGCTGAGAGAATAACACTCAGGTACACAACAATATGACTCCATCAAGAATCACGAATGGAAAACATCTGGGAGTAAACTGCTCATAAAACCATTGTTATGTTCATTTACATAAGATTGAATATACGCAACAGTATATGCAAATATTTCCATGTTTCATGTTTCTTAGATTAATTTCCAAAGTCTTCAAATGTCTTCTTTTGGCTTCATTTACACTGCAACTGAATATAGCTCAAATATGTGTTTTTCCACCTGTGAGAAGAAAACACCTCTTCTCTTCATTGTGTTAAATTAAATCAATCTCAGTGAATAATTAGCCATTTGGATTAAAAAAAAAAGCAATTAACCTCTGAAAGATGTTGCAATGAACCCCCAAACAACTGTAACTCACCTGTGGGCTGAACTTTGACAGACGTCTTCTCCGACTCTTTCCGGGTCATTGCGTACCAGGAGCGATCCGGGTCCTGGATCCATTCCGAAGTCTCGCAATAGAACTCTCCCTGGTCTGGGGGCTGCAGTTTGTAGATGGTGAGACGGTAGGAAGTGGGGCTGGTCTTGTCCAGACGCAGATCTCCTGAAGACAGACGTTGGCGGTACTGTCCACCCGGTCGTAGAACAAAGTCCCGTGACAAGGTGACCAGGTCACGTGGACCAGAACTGGGGTCATCAGAGGGTCGCAGGTACCACCCCACAGAAACGTGAGTGTGCTGGGACGTCTGGCGTGTGACCTCACAGCTCAGCTGTAGCGTGTCCCCCTCCACTTTCGAGAGAGTCTGAGCAGTGGCCATCACCGTCAGAGTGTCCGGGATCACTGTAGAGGAAACCAGGGCATGAGGTTAGTTTGAGAGTAGAGTTCATGAACAACAAAACACACCCTTAAATGCATTCAGTCCTTGTCCAAATTAACATTTAAACAGGATTCTCTCCTGTAGGGCGGCTCAATCTCAACCCTTTTATTAACTTATAGCCTCAAGAAAAAACAAAGCCTGTTTTTGTCCTCAACAACCGCTCACACTTCTTCTCCCTCTGTCAGCCTCTGGGTCCTTTATCCAATAAAATATGGCAGAATTTTTCGAAAAACAGAGTATGACTACAGAACAAACTGAAAGATGTACTTTGTTGGGGCCGAAACATACTCTGCACAAGTACCTCAATGCAAATGTTTCATGCTACTAGCGATGCATCAGTATTAAAATTATGTCTGAAACCGATAACTCATGTTATGACTGCTAACCAATTAATGGCTAGTATTAAAAATGTATTCTATTTTCTTTCAATAAATTCAAAATAAAGTAATGAAACTAAAATCAATCATTTTTAAGAGAAATTAAATTATTTTAAATTAATTTAGGCACCACAACATTATAATGTATAGTATGAAAAATAGATATGCAAGATTACATTTAACAGTGTTAAATTAGAGGTATTTTTAAAGATTAACTTTAGATGACATCAGATGTCATCTAAATGTATTAATAGGCAATATTATATTCATGCATCTCTATTAGTGTTATTTTAGTATAATTTATATTACAGTATTTATAAGTATTTTTAATTAGCTTTTGTTTAAAATAAATTTTTTTATTTAAACTTTTTTTCGTGTTAATTTTATTTTTTTATTTTAATTTTAGTTGTCATTCCGTTTTAGTTGTAGTAATTTTAAGTGTTTTTGTAATTTTTACAAGTCTAGGCTTTTTTTAAATTAAGATATATCAATATAAATAGATAGTGATAGTAATATAAATTTAAAAAAAAATTTTTTATTTAGATTTATTTATATTTCAGTTTTAGCTTTAGTATGTTTAGTATGTCAACTTCAACTTATTTATTTTATTTAGTTGCCATAATATGAATGAAATATGTATTTTTTCTTCATTTATTTCAGCTTTATTTCAGTTAATGAAAACTACTTTTAATAGTTCGTTTTTCAATACAGCAATAACAACACTGATCCCTACTAGCTACACACACTCAAATTTCGATCAACATTGTATTCCAAAATGTGTCAGACTGAAATGCAAGCGCACACTGTTATTCTCAGCATTTCCACGAGAGGAGCTACAGGTAATTAACGTACAGCACATCTGGTTTAAGGCACATCTATTTAAATATAAATGTAACATTGTCTAGAGTACGAGTGTTTGTAAGAGGACACATTAAGTATGCATTTGTTTACTTGCCTTTAGCGTGTTTCTGGCCCTGGGTTTAGTCTATACAGTTCTCCTCTTTCTCTTGTGTGCAGTGCTATAGGCTCACATATGTAAACAACATGCTGCAGATGCACATGAACACATGTTTGCATGAAGCTGTGAAAGCATGAAAGGAGAGCAGACTCATGACTGCAGATAAACTAAGCACACAAATACAGCTTTCTTTTTTCATGGACAGCTTGCTATGCAAACGTTCGGCCCGAACCCACGCTCACACACTCCAGCTCAGCAGCAGGGCATTCCAGCACATCTCTGACACCACACTACCATCCTTTAGCACCGAGCCACCACAACATGATATTCTGCATCCCATTACCGCTAGACGTCTCCGTGCAGTGCTAACATTGATTAGCACCAGTCAGATCTTCAGACTGGGAACGGCGTCTCACAGGCTGCGAAAAGAACAGCTCTGACATCACTGTGCGAGAAATGGATTTTTGTGACAAACCAAAATCCTGGAAATAAACCTGTGTGACATCTTGAAAACTGCAGCCACAATATTTATCTGAATGAGGCACTGACAGCTGACAGTGTCTCCAATGCCTCAAGTTTCCTTTTCCAGGACACTTAAAAAAAAAACATTACAAATCCTAAATATAGCAGGCCTTTAGCAAAATAAAAGGCACTTTATAGTTATTTAAGCATGACTATTTGTAGATTTCAATCAAACCTTTTGCTCATCTGTAGCAGAGATGAAAATTTATTTAAATGACTTCTCAAAAATAAGTGTGGCCATAAAAGGTAATAGGTATAACACAAAACTATGCGCTTATGGATGGATCGTACATCACTGGCTCAGCTCCAGGCTGATCATAGGAGTGGCATGGAAATGTAATCCTGCTGGCAGTGCGTGATGAGGTGCATCTGGTGCTTTCTGCACCTTGTTACCCCTTCCATGAGTCCAGCATTGCATGTGTCCAGCACTGAAGCAGGTCCAATGTAAATGCATCCAGCCAGTGTTTGGAGTAGCATGTAATGAAATGTTCCTGGTGCACTGTGCACCTTGGTAAAATGGTTTTCTGAGTGCTTGATGCATGTACCTGGCTTAAGATTGCTTGTCAACAATCAGGTTGAAGAATATCTAATGAAGATCAAACTATTAAAGGGTTAAAGTTAAATTAACTGTCTACCTGAGATTGGAACGCATTCCTGTAGCTTATCACGCTAGCACATGGATGTTGTTAGCCATGACAAAGTTATGGGTTTAATATGCAGTGAATGCATTCATTGCTTAAACACATAATTTGTAAGTCGTATTATAAAAAAGTAGGAATGCACATTTCTACATTTTCTACAACTAACTGTTTGATGTTATAGCCCATAACTGATAAATGGCTTAAATTCTATATTATTTTGTTTAAATTAATAAAAATAAACTAAAATTAACCATTTTAAATCATATAGTATAAGTTGACTAAATTTGGTAATGGGAGAGTAAACATATTTTTAAAACGTACACCGTTCAAACTAGGCTGCTTATGTTGAAGTGTTTGGGATGTGGCTTTTAATGATGAGACCTTTTTTGTAATCAGGCTCTCAAAAAGTATATAACAATTTGGATATAGATTTATCGGCCAACATATCGGTTATCGGCTTTCAAAAATAAAGAATAATCGGTTATCGGTATCGGCCAAAATTTTCATATCGGTGCATCCCTAGAATATATGGATCACAACATCATAATGTACAGTATAAAACAGTCATGTGAATTAAAGAGGTTTTTACTTGTATAAAGCTAAAACAAATCTGATTCTCACTCATGGGCTCCTTGTATAAAATTTCTATTATTAATTTGATTTTATTGCTGGGTGTTTTATTTTACTGTATGTAATTTGTTGGGGTATCATTAATTGGGGTAATAATATTGGCAATAACTCATGGCATTGTTATCCAGGTTTGTTATCTGTGCACTTGTTCTTCTATGTAGAAAAATTCAAAAACCATTTTAAGTGTTCATGAAATTTGTACATTTTTTAAAAATGAAATTCAAGTGAGTGTTAGATGACAGCAACAGGTAATCTAAATAGAGAAAGTGACCATGCACAATGATATATTTGACTAATACTGATAAATGAAAAAGAATATAAATAAAACAAATTAAAAATGTGCACATTTAAATCAAATGAATGTATAAAAAATATATAATAAATATATATAATATAGTATTGACTAATAACCAATATGATACAGACATATAGTGTACACAGACAAAAAGTGCCTGCCAAAAGCATAAAAGCAAACCATAATATGATCCCTAATGCGATTATATGTTCAGCTACAGTAGCAATAAGAGAACACTACACTCAGCTCCATTTAACAAATTATAGCACATACTTTTCTTCAAAATCAGCAAAGAAAATGCTAAATAAAACTAAGCTTTGAACTGCAGAACGTGCAACTTGGTTCAGCATGGGCCACTTGATCACTCAAAAAAATGAACCTTTACAGAGAGCTGCACAAAAGCCTTTATAAATCAATCAGCCCGTCTCTCTCTCTCTCTGTGCAAAAGGCCCTGAATAAATGAAAACCTATTGAACTGAGCGAACGGACTCACACATACACTCCTTCGACATTTCTGCACAGTGAAAATGAATCCTCTTGGTTTACCTGCACAGGCATTGAGGGCATCTGCGGACGAGAGCTCAATTATTCAACTTCATGTTTGCTCACACATTATCACTCCTGAGCTAGAGCGCATGAGCCACACAAAAGGTACGCGACGCTAATGAAACAACAGCGAGCGGGGTGGGGTGGGGACACGGCTTATATAAAACTAATGAAATGGGAGAAAGACTGCGTGAGGGAGAGATGAGTGACGGAGGAGGAACAGCAGACGGCAGCGATGCAAATGAAACGAGGGGTAAGAAATGAAAGAACCAGAGGAAAGACGGCACTGTTTAACAGCAGGTTACTTCAGCGCCGCTTTGAAGAAGCACAGATGTTAGACACAAAGACAGAAAGTCAGAATAAAGAAGCAAAATAGTGAAATGAGGCTGAAAGGGAGGGCTGAGAGACTGAGGTGGTGGCCCTCTGCTGGGTTTTTTAATAAGAAAGCCCACGGTGTCTCTCACACCCTGACGAACAACCACCTCATGGATCACAACCGAGGTGGGGAAACACAAGGATAAAAATAGAGGGACTTTTCTATTTGGGCATCTGATTATTCTTCCATTCTTATGTTGTGTGCATCTCGAAGAGTAGATGATGGTGTAGGAGTGTGAAAGAGAGCAACCGCTAACACAGATTCCGTTGTGGAGGAGTGTGAGTGTGTGTTGGTATGTAGGCGAGGACCTAAGGGACAATCTTCACAACTGTAGAACCACGTACACCCCCGCACTCATCGCTGGCTCCATATAACCATCATGCATTATGATGCAAGTAATGGGAAAACTCAATAAGGGTTCTTTGTCTTAGCATAAACGCACGCTAAACAAACAATAAACCCAGAGTCTCCGGAGGAAACACGATCGATACTAAAATATCAGATATCATATCCTACAGAAACAAGCTTGTTACCATAACAACTACTCAACGAGAAAACAGCTAGCTGTTTCCATGCCAACATTAAATCCTCAACTTGTAAAGGCATAAAGATATTGATGGC